CTGCCAATAGCATGCTGTTTTTTTTATCACTGTAGCTTCATAGTATAACTTGAAGTTCAGCATTGTGATGCCCCGCCTAGCCCTTGTTGCACAGAATTGGTTTTGCTACTCTAGGTCTCTTCTCATTCCATAGGAATTTTAGGAGTACTTCTATTAGTTCTGTAAGGAATGCTACTGGTATGTTGATTGGATTACATTATTCTCTATAACAATTTTGCGAGTATGGGCATTTTGACTGTTACTGTTTCTGCTTATCCAGGAAGGAACAGGGGATGTATTTCCATTTGCTGATGTCGTCTTTGATCTCCTTTTTCAAAGTAGTATAGTTCTTATTGTAGAGATCTTTCACTTCTTTGATTAGGTTAATTCCTAAGTATTTTATTTCTCTGGATCCTACTGTGAAAGGCATTGTTTATCTAATTTCTCTCTTAGTGTGTATTATTAGTGTATAAGGATACTATTGATTTTTGAATGTCAGCTTTGTATCCTGCTACACTACTGAGTTTGGTTATTAGTCTAGGAGTCTTTTGGTGGAATTTGGGGGTTTTTCTACATAGAAGATCATGTCATCTGCAAATAATGATAATTTAACTTCTTCCTTTCCTATTTGTATCTTTTTATTTCTTTTTTTTGTCTAATTGCTCTGGGTAATGTTACAAGAACTATATTGAACAGGACTGGTGGTAGCAGAGATGCTTGTTTTGTTCTTGATTTTAGAGGGAACTCTTTCAGCTTCTCTCCATTTAATAAAACATTGGCCGTTGGTTTTTCATAGATGGCTTTTATCAGCTTGAGATAAAGACTTTCTATACATATTTTCTTCAGGGTTTTTTTTTTTAAACATGAATAGATGTTGGATTTTGTCAAATGCTTTTTCTGTGTCTATTGAGATAATCATGTGATTTTTGTTCTTCTGTTTATGAGATGTATTACATTTATTGATTTGTGTATGTTGAACCATCTCTGCATTCGTGGAATGAATCCTACCTGGTCATGATGTATGATCTTTTGGACAATTATTTGCATTCTGTTTGATACTATCTTACTGAGGATTTTTACATCTCTGTTCATTAAAAAGGTTGGCCGGTAGCTCTGTTTATTGGTTGGCTCCTTTTCTGGTTTTGGAATCAGAGTAATGCTTGCTTCCAGGAGTATTACTTCCCTTTTCATTTTATTAAAGAGCTTGAGTAATGTTGGCATTAGATTTTCTCTAATGTTCTTTTTGGCTGTCAATTCATTGGGACCTGGACTTTTCTTAGTTGGTAGTTTTTTTTACCACTTCTTCAGCTTCATTGATTGATACTGGATTATTCAGGATTTTTGTATATTCTTGGTTTAGCTTTAGTAGTTTGTATGTATCTAGGAATTTATGTGTTTCTCCCTAATTTTCCATTTTATTAAAATACAAGTTCTCAACGTAGTTACCAATGATATTTCTGGATTTTGGCAGAATTTATTGTGATTTTGCTTTTCTTTCATTTCTAGTTGCATGGATTTGGATCTTTTCTGTCCTTTTGGTAAGATTTGCTAAGGGGTTATCTATTTTGTTTATTCTTTCAAAGAACCAACTTCAATTCCTTGATTCTTTGTTGTTGTTTTTTGGGGTTTTTTTGGGGGGGGGCCAGGGATCGAACTTGGGACCTTATTTTTGAGAGGCAGGCAGCAGAACCACTCAGCTAAATCCCTGGCCCCCTATTCTTTGTATTTTTTTAATCTCAATTTCATTAGTTTCTGTTCTGATCTTTATAATTTCCTTCCTCATACTAGCTTTGGATTTGGATTGTTCTTGCTTTTGCAGACCTTGAGGTGCATAATTAGGTCATTTATTTGAGCTCACCTGTTTTTCTGATGTGGGAATTCATTGCCATAAATTACACTGCTGTCATTGTGTCCCATAGGTTCCTATATGTCATACTGGCATTATGGTTTGATTGTAGGAACTGATTTCCTTAATTTCATCTATGACCCACTGATTATTCAAGAGAGTATTGTTTTTTAAATTTTATATTATTTTTTATTAAGTTTATTGGTACATTTTAGGTGTATATCATGATCACATTCATCATTGGGAATTTGTACCTGTACATGATATATATTGGTTCTTCTTTTTTCCCCATTCTCCTTCCCTCCCTTCCACCCCTCACCCCTCCCTATTTACAGATTACTTTGTTTCCATTTTTTTGTTCTTTGCTCATCATTTTTTCTTTCCCTTCTTTCCTTTCCCCTACCCCCCCCCCCATTTCCCTTCCCCTTTGGACGTTTTCTTCTTATTTCACATTATTATACATTTTGGTCCTCATTTACATTTTCAGTTTCTCACACCAGAGAAACTATTCAGTATGAAATTTTATATTATTAATACATGTGTCTCTTACATGATATTTACATTCCTTGAGGGAAGGACCTGCACGTGCGCACATGCACACACAAGAAAAAAAAAGAAATTTCTCTGTGATATTGAATATGTGACTTTCTTTTGGGATCTACAATTTTGTGGCAGTGTCCAAGTCAAGATATGTCTCTGCTCATGCTAGTAGATAAACAAGACAGTCAGACCCTACATCTGTGTAGGTTGGAGGCACAAGCAGGCAGTAGGATTAGGGCAAGTGCACCAATGCTGTGACTTTCAAATCCAGAACAACTCAGGCTGAGCTTGGCTTCTGGCCATGGGAATGGGGCATGTGTCCTTTAGCCTAGACCCCTCAGAGGGTCTCTTTGTCATAACTCCTTGACTCTGGCTGTCCCCTGTGGGTGTCTCTCACTTAGTCACTGTGGGAATGTAACACTGGGAGCCCTGAAGTGCAGCCATCCTTCAGCATCTCTGAGTCCCAGTTTCAAACAGTTGTCTCTTTCTTTCTTAGAATGTCATCCTACTGAGCACTCTTTCCAGGGACATGGTGCTTTCCAGCTGTTGCTTGTCAAAGGACTCATGTGGGAGCAGAATCCCCCACTCACTCTCCCTGCAGATCACAGCACCCATTCCATGACCGTGATTTTTCCCTGAAGTCCTCTGAAGGCCCCAGCTTTCACTTTGTCTTTGTAGATTTGGTCTCCCTTTTCCATGAGCCAGGAGCCAGGAGCTGGGGAGAAAGTACAAATTGTCCTTTTCCTTCTTTTTGTTGTGTTTTGTCTTTTCAATTTCTCTCTAAGTTTTAATTTTTCTATTTAATCTTTCTTGGTTCATGGGAATCTACTTTGCTTTTTCTTTTTTTCTTCCCCAAGTTGTTATTTTCTAGAGTTTTGGATTCCAAATCTCGGCAAGGCTAATTTGTTGTTGCTTACCGTTCTGCCATTTTCTGGTTGGAGAATCCTTATCCCTGCTTAATTGTTTAATTCCCCACTGTCCCCCATCTGTTAATAATCTCACTGCCTGAAGCTTTGCCCTCAAGCTCTTTAATTTCTTTAGCTGAGAGGCATTCTTAACAAGATTTTGGTTTTAATATTAGTGCATTACAATGGTGTGATTTTTTTTATCATTATTAATAATATTTGTGGTGATTATACAATCCAGGAGAATCTCTTATACTCAGAGATCAGTGGTCACAGGAAATTTTAGAAAGCATGTTAAAATGACTAATAAGAGACCACAACTCATGGGATTATAGTATATTAGGAAATGTTGAGGAGAAATTGACACAGGGATGTAATTTCAACAAGAGAGAAAAATATAAAAATCTCCAACTTTGAAGGAAAATATTTATTTTTAAATGAATTAGGGTGGATATCAAATCATACCAATTTTTATATAACACTGGACACATTTTCTGTGTCTAGATTTAAAATTATCAGAAAAATACATCTTTTTAATTTATAATAAAATTTTAGTTGTCAGCTAAAAAATGGATTTAGGGAAACATGTTTGAAAAAATTTTTAGGAAGAATGACAGCAAAAAGTTCGTTTTATTTTACTTGTTATATTTCATTGGTGTTGATTTTCAACATGAGGGTAGGGCACTCTGCTTTCTTGCTGCTCACTCTATTAAGGGCAGGATTTATTGATTGGTATTTTATATATCAGCCTTTTGCTAATTTAATCTCTTGACTGAAAACCATGAGTGTCTCCTATATGTCAACCTCAGTGCCATGTATATTGGAAGGAGCACCAGCCCCTGCCTTCTTGGAGTTCATGAGTTGGACTCTGCTCTTGGATTTAGAAACTGGATTGTGCTGGGGACTGGAGCAGTCAGATACAAGTGTTTGACAATTGAGATAGGTCTTTCGGTCCTTCAACAAGTAACACTACTGCATTATTCCAAGGACACTATTGGTGTTGATAACTTTCGTAGGTACTGTTGCTTCTCAAAAGAACACTAGGCTGGGGATGGTGTTGCACTTCTATAATCCCAGCGTTCAGGAAGCTGAGGCAAAAGGATTGCCGTGAGTTTGAGGCCAGTCTGGGTTACATGGTGAGTTTAAGGCCACCCTAAACTGCCTAGTGAGATCCTGCCTAAAAAACAAACCAAAAGAACATTCATTAGCTTAACATCCTTATTTGTCAAGTTTAAGTATGCTAAAAGACTGCTGATGTTTGGCCAGGATATGAAGGAAGAGTTTGTTCTTCTGGATTGGTGGATTTTTCTAAAGAGCCCTGGTATTTCATTCCATTTGTGGAATATTTTAGAATATAGTGTTAAAATGACTTTTATGTGTGATCCTGGAGAATGAACTTAGAACCACTAGCTAATTTTCTTTAATATTAGATTTCTTCATTTATGATTTGAGAAATTAACTTCATGTGTATTTTAGAAATAGCTAGACTTAAGACCAGAACAAAAACTCTCAACCTGTTAGGATTATGTCCTAGACACTTTACATTTCTTTAATGTTTAACTGTGTTAATTCATGACTGTGATTAAATATTATTTGAGGGTTTTGATAACCAAATGTTAATGTGCTGCATTCAGCATTTTGGATAATAGCTTCATTTTTGAAGGGCACAGTTATGCCTCACATAATAAACTATCAAAGTAAATGAGTTCAACTCTGTTTGTTTTTTCTAGGTGAAAAGAAATGGGCTATCTCAAACAGTAAGCCAGGAGGAAAGGAAGAGACAAGAGGTATGTTTCTCACAAACTGTGTCACAGCTTCAAATGTGGCATGGGGGTGGTGGGTCTGTACTTTTGGGCTTTCATCTTCTAGATGCACTTGCTAAGTGTTGTCTTTTGGGAATGTATTTGTTTTCTTCTTACAAAATTAGCAAGTGGTCATTGTTAAATAAAGGTGCACACACATTAGTCCTCAAGAAAGCAAACATTTATATATCTCAACATTTGCATTTAAACAACAAAGCATATAGTTTAAGTATTTAAACTTGAAGAAATATTCTGAAAAATGAAACAGACATTAGATCCTGAAATTAAAAAATGATATCACTGGGAAAACTAGTGAAATTTGAATAAAATGTATACATTAGTCTGTAGACAAATGTACCTCAATTATATAATGTACTCTTCTTAGAAGCAACTGTGTAATGGATACATGGAACTCTGAACTCTCTTTGTGAGTTTTCTATAATATAAAAGTGTACCGAAATGAAAATTTTACATGTTACATATTCACACATGAACGCATGTGTTTGTTAAATGTATGTAAATAATATGACTGTATACAGTTTTTTATTTCTTGCTTTTTATACTAAGCATTGTTTTTGAGATTCATGTTAATATTTCATGTTTGTAGTCATGCTAATGCATATTAATTTAGATCATTTCAACCACTATATACTATTCCATTTTATGAATATCATCTTTTAAATTTTTTATCTAATTTCCTGATAATGGACAGTGGGTAACCCTTTTTTCTTTATTGTTAACATTGTATTATAAACTTTTTTTCTCACTATGTGGGTGTACTCAAGAATTTCTCCAAGGTCCTAAATCCAATAGAACCCTTCTATTCTTTTAAATTTTCTATATTTTAACCTTGTTTATTCACATTATATTCTGATAATATTTATGCAGATTTTTGATGTAACAAGTTAATGACAACTTCAAGTATAACTTTATGCTTCCTTTCTATTCCTATGTAGCTGTTTTTAGCAGGTCTAACCTGATTTGCTGTTAGGTAGTTCATGACTCTGTGGCAGGATATTTTAGCAATTACTACATTAAACTTGTTACCACTTACTCATCTTCTCATGTGGTATGTTCTATATAGTTCATTATTTTTTGTCTAAATCCGTGTATTTTGGTTGTGATTTAAAACAGTCTTTATTGTTGAAAACATCTGAAGTCATTCCAAGACAATATATCTTACCAGTGGCCTTAAATCCATTATTTTTGGCCAGAATGAAGAATTTTTCTTAGTTTGACTTATATTTTGGGCAGATCATTGTATTGATTGAATTGACTTTTGCAAGATACACGTTAAATGAGGCTCTTAAAGGTCTTACTCTTTACTTCAGGCAGTAGTCACTTAATTCCCTGGAGCAACGCTGTAGCTAAATAAGCACATCTAAGACAGACCTAAGCCTCTAACACCTTACAGATGCTAAAAAGGAACTCTGAGATTATTGCTTTAACATGATTTACAAAACATGACCCACTTCTTAGCTACTGGGCCTCCACCTGCCTGTGTCTGTCCTGTTCCCAGGCAGTTCCTGTTAACTGTGTGCTTTGGAACAGGGGCTTTAAGTGCAAGAACTCCCGCAGTCAGAGTGATGAATGCATGGTTACCAGGGAGCTCACCGGGACAGATTTTCACCACCCCTCCCTGAGGAGGAATTCTCCCTTCATCACCATTCTTAGATCTGAATTTGATTTTGTTAAGGAGCTGGCTGAAATCTTTACATAGGGCATTGGTGTCTGTCCACAGATGTGCGTTGGCATTGTCATCCTTCACACTTACCAGGAAAACCACGGTGTGCCTGACACCAAGAGTCTGTGTGAGGGTCCTTTTCTCCTTCTTGAGACCTAGCAAGAGTAGAGAGGTGGCTTGTTAAATGGACAGAATTGTTTTCAATTGTATGAGATTACATAAAAGAATTCCTGTGGCTCATAAGAGCCTTTGGAGGGTAGGTACAGTCATGCCAGAATATTTGTTACTGACTGCACATTAGTCAAATTGAAAGAGAGAGAAAAAGAGCACACACAAAAGGGGAGCAAAGGAAGACATTTGTGAAAAATATTCTCTGGATTCCGTGATGACTGTAAATTCTTACTGTTCCTAAAAGAAGTGTGCTTTGAAAGCAGGGCTGGAGAAGATGACCCTGAAGGTTAATTAACATCACACTGAGATTTTGTGACATGCCCAGCTTTCCTTCTATAGATTCTACCCTATGGCAAAGGCATGACCCTGGGATGTAATGTCATCCAGCTTCTTTCCTTCTCAGTATTTACAATACAGAAAGTAACACTTTCTCCAGTGTTTTGGGGTATATGTTCCTTATATTAAAACAGTAGTTTAATAATACATGTTTCTAAATTCTTACCTTTTTGTACTTCTCAAGATACATCATTCGTATAGCAGAACAATGAGAGCTCCATCAATTCTTCAGTTAAAATAACGAATAATTTCTTTCTTCTTCTTACCAGGCAATCTTTGAAGTCATATCATCTGAACATTCATATTTACTCAGCTTAGAGATCTTGATTCGAATGTTTAAAAATTCTAAAGAACTGAGTGATACAATGACCAAAACTGAGAGACACCATCTTTTCTCCAATATTACAGATGTCTGTGAGGCAAGCAAAAAGTAAGTGCACTTCGGTTTGCCTTTGCTTGTGCCAAGGCGATGCTTATTAACAAACACCTATGTTATCTCAAAAGGAAGGATTGTGACATTACAAAACCTCTCCTCCATTTAGTTGGCTATTGTATTCATTCCCATCAAGTGATTTCGAAAATTGTTTTAAATTGTTAGTGGACAGAAAGTTGTTAAATATGTAATTAATTGTCCTGGCCTATGACTGGTGACTGCGTAAGGTCTCTTCATTCTTTCTCTTTCCCACGTATCCATTCACTTTTTTCCTTTGGGTTACATCTGCAGTCTTGTTTGATAATAGTCTATGACTTGTTCATTTTAGTACAGAAAGAGCAGGTGTTAGGCTTAGATCTTTCGTAGGGAATATCTGGATAGAATGTAATATTTTTTATTATATTTAATATTTTCCTTTACTTTTTGTCATGAAAAGTAGATAAACTTGCATAATAAATTTTCTTGCAGCCCAAATTTGTACTTAACAATAACATTTTTCTGTTATCTTTGCTTTTTGCTTAAATATGTCCAAGTATATAGTTACAATATCTTACTGATAAATACTTCCATAAAATAAAGTTTTCTTCTATAACCACAGTGTTACAGTAAGATCCATCATTCTTTCATTTATGATTCTATTTTTTGATTTTTGTGCAAGTAGATTGATATGTTTTAGAATTCCAGACATACCAAAGATTCTACATTAAAAATGCCCTTCCTGGCCATCCCAGGCTCCTAGGGCCAAGAAGGTGAACCAGTCCCAGCACCCGGAAGGAAGCTCCCCCACTGCCATCCCAGCCTCCTAGGGCCAAGAAGGTGAGCCAGTCCCAGCACCCAGAAGGAAGCTCCCCACCTCCATCCCAGGCTCCTAGGGCAGTGAAGCTCAGCTGGTCCCAGCACCCAGAAGGAAGCTCCCCACCTCCATCCCAGGCTCCTAGGGCAGTGAAGCTCAGCTGGTCCCAGCACCCGGAAGAAAGCTTCCCTGCTGCCATCCCAAGCTCCTAGGGCACAGAAGGTGAGCCGCGTGGGCGCCAGAAGCACAACCCCCCATCGTGGAAATGAGAAGACACATAAACAAGCCTCAAAAACAGACTTTCAGATCACCTACAGCAACCCCAAAGGGAAACAGGATGGAACACTCTGATACTCAACCACCTGG